TTTTCGCGAAAACAACGGCCGAAGAGAGGAGAGATTCTATTTTTTCACTTATTTTCGCACGTCGAACCCCCTATCGAATATTTACTCCTCGTCCGCTTGACTCCACTTGACGAATTTTCAAATTCGATTTTCTCGAAAACAGAGCTTTTCAACGTAGAAATGTTATTCTTTCATTTTCACCTGTTTTTTCACGCAGGTCCCCTGTGTCTAGCGCCAGAATACTAACCTAATAATCGATTCACAGCGATATTAAAATGAGCGTCGAAATGGAATTAATTAATTAACAATCGCCCGAAAGTTGTCCAGATGGTAAGCGGGAAAAGTTTTAAATCGTTATTGCACAATCGTTTCAGTGGATCGCGAGGGCTTCTTTGAACTGGCGACGAAAAGAAAAAAAGAAAAAGAAAGAAAGAAAATAGATCGAGCCGGTACTCGGTGAAAAGAACGGCTTAGAAGAAAATTGACATAGTTCCCTGCGACGAATGTAAGGTACAAAAGGGAGGATATTAACGCGGACTCATTAAGCGGAAGCACTCGGGGGGGGGGGGGAGGAGAGGGTAGCGCTTCCAGTTTAATGTTTTATCGTAACCTTAAAGCTCCACCAAGAGCAGACGCTGGAAGTCGGTCACCGTCATAAAAAATTACCGTTCATTTTTTAAAAGCTTCGGTTGATCCGGACGTGGCCGGGGGGTGGGGGTGGGGAGGGGACGGCGGCTTTAATTAACGGGGGCAACGCCCACGAAAAAAATATCGGCTCTGTCTCGCGTCAGAGAGATAGACCAACGAAAACGTGATTCAATTTCGTAAAATACAGACCCGGTCGAGCGTGGCGAATCGAATATTTAAAAACTCGCTGGGACGAGATCAATCAATGAAATGAAATCAATGGTGTCCGATGGTGCAAACCGCAAAAACCGGGTGGTAAAAATAACAATTATAGCCGGGTGGATCAATTATAGTCCGGCGTCCGAAGGAAAACAGGGAAAAATACAGGCGTGAACGTATGTTTGACGACGGGGTAAATTCGCGTTTACACTCATGAATATTTCATTTGTCCTTTTTCTCCCCCCTCCTTCCCCCTCTCGTCTGAATGAGCAAGAGCGGCGATATATCGCGCTTCTCTTTGTCCGATTCTTTGCCCATTTGCATCTGTTAATCTCGTGTCAATTTTGCGCCGACAGAAATATAACTTGATCGCGAAACGCCGTCGAAGGAAATTATCCAGTGGCTCCCGTTACTACGGGAGCTCAAATTTCTATCTGCGATCGCGGCATGGAGTTTCGTTGGAGTTCTTTCGAAAATTGTTGCGTCCAACGAAATTGAAATTAATCGCGACTCCTAAAATTTCGATGTTATTCTTTCGATTAATCACGATCGATATCTTTGTTTCTTTTCGCATTTATGCAAAAATTCAGCTCGATTTATGTTATGCGTACAAATACATTAAACATCGAGCGTAGAATATTTACTATAAAGTACGACAGATGAAACGAATTTCCATTAATTTTCTGCTCCTTTGGTCACGTTCGTAAAAATAACATTTGCCGAGTGTTGTAATAATTGGTAAAATTCATTCGGGATTTGTTAGCTTCGTATTGTTTTTAATTATCGTGCTTGTTGATGTCTACGCATTGAGTATTCGTTGTGTTTAGCCGCTTTCTTCTTTTTTTTTCGTTTCCGGCAGTTATTCTCAACACATACCTGCATTTATTATAATCATTTTTAACTGCCGGACGCGCGTTTCGTTAACTCCTGGAATTAATCATTTTTAATTAAAAACGTTATTTAATACCGGATGCGCAAGATAAAATTTTAATGTATACATATATATATATATATATATATATATATATATATATATATATATATATATATATATATAAAGAATTTCACCAGTTATTACGTTTACGTTATTTATTACACCATTTTCTTTATTTCATTGTTTCAATATTTATTCGTGAAATTTATTTGTATGTGATTTGTGAAAATCAACGGAGAAAACAAAATTCCGGAAGAAGAATCCAGAATCACAATGCAATAGAAAGTGTATTGAAAGTAGAAATCAGCTGTAATTGATCTTTCGAATCTATTCATGCAGATTTATTAAATATATATTAATCCACGAAGATTTATTATTAGAGAGGATAGTTAATTGATAGATTGATAGATAATTATGATATTTAAATGTGCTTTGATGCGTTTTACTTTATTGAATTGTGTAAACAATATTTTTGAACTTTTAGGTGATAATAATTTTAATAAGACAGTCATACATGTGTTGCGATTTTGACATCGTCGGAAATTTTGTGATTTATAGTAAAACCTATGGAGATTTCTAAAATTCGTTGAATAATCAGATTAGTGCACGTGAAATGTCGTTTTCCTAAGTAAACTTGTATCAGATGATATCCTCTGTAAAATATTATATATATATCAATTTTCCATGTGATTCAATGCATATTTATAGTGATTAACTAGCATTGTTAGTTCAGTCAGTTAAGTTTCAAAATATCAAAATTTCTAAACTAGAAGTTTACAATCTTTATTAAAATAGTTTTTCGAAATTCAACTTAAATATGGTGCTCCTTTCTCTAAATAGAATAATAACTTTCTTGGCTTCTAAATTTAAGTTCATATAAAAAAATTCCGATTATTCGTGAGAACTGTTAGCGAGATTAGAATATTTTTATTAAATATTAGAATATTTTATATTTCAGATAGGTGTACGTGATTTATATGATCGACAGGAGGACGAAATTTAATGAATTTTAGAAAAACGATATTTCATGTACACCAACCTAATGTCCGAAGACCTAAAAGTGTAACTGTTGTTCTCCACCACATTGTAACGTCTTGCTTAGATGCAGTCCTTCTGACTAATCTCAAAGATATTGCGTTACAGCATACAATACTTCATTTGCGAATAAATAAAACTCTTCCAATTTTACAATTTTTAACTCTCAGATGCACACTCTCTTTCAAAGCGATAGACTTGTTGTTTGAATCAATAACACAGAGGGGTGCAATTTCGCAAAGCTGTACATTTAAGGATTAATTTTAGGATGAAATTGTTTTCAGCAACTGAAAGGCAGAAAAAGAAAAGAAAAGGATGTTGATTTCCAATTTTTCACAAATTTTCATGGGGGGGAGGGGGGAGGGGGGAGTTTGGTTGCTTTAAAACTCTCTGTATTTAATTTCGCGACTGAAAATAACAGCCTTGAATCACGCCCGGGCATCAAGAGTGAACCGTGCCCCGCCCTCCGTGTTCCCTCTGTTCCCCCCCGTTAATCCGTAAATTTGAATATCGTCAATCCGTGGCTCGATCAGAAAAATTCGGGCGCAAGCCGTAAAATGCCCGCCGCTGCGATCGTATTCGAAAAATATTTTCGCTCTAATCCCTCGGCCCCCGTCTGTTCCCTCTCTGTCATCGTGCCGCGGCGTGCTCCGCTTCTTTTTGCTCTTCGGCCCACGGCCGTTCATGAATATGGAAAATCAGACCTTTCGGTGACACGATCCGCATCTCTCTGTCACTTTTTCTCGCTTTTTTGTACGTTCGTGCCGCGGTTCGTAAATTGATTCCCCGCGCAAGTGGTACCACCGCGTTCCTGTTGATTTAAAAGGAGAAAGGATTGGTTTTGCCATCGGGCCCCGTTCTCAGATCAAAATTCAATCACCGTTGAATTGCCATCGTTGAAGAAGAGACCTGATCATGTTTGCGGGTTTCTGAGCGAGACCGAGGAAGTGTACCGTGGATTTTTCACGATTAGATTCGCGAATGTTTTTATGCAGATTGTTGTGGCGAGGAGCATAACCGAATAAATGAAAATAGATGAAAGATTGTCGATACTTTAATGTCTTATACTGTTAGATCTACCTTATAGATCTATTATAATCGGTTAAGTGTACAACTAGTATGTATGTGATATGCTTGTATGTGTATGTATTTATATAAGCAGCTCGAACGTATTGTCAACGTTCATCTTTGTAATAAGAGTCCGCTGAGTAAAATTGTTATTCCTAAGTAAATTCCAAAGTGATATTACACGCTCCAACATATATAGCTTCCTAAGAGAAAATTTACATGATAATTTATTCGATTTTATTTCGAAGCGCAGTGCTATTATTTTGACAGTCTTGAGATTTTTTACAGTTTTCTTCAAAGTTGTTTTCACGTCGCGTGAAACAGGTGGGAATAAAGTACACTTTATTCGATTAACAAATAAAGTTTCGATATTTTTCTTATAAATTTTACTACCACTGAACGTGCAAGGTTCTTACCAAACTTCTTTAGCCCTCAAGGACCAAGTAATAATTGATCAATATTACAAGTACATCATGTTCTTTCAGATTTGATAAAATTGTAAAATCCAGGCGAAAAAAGAAAGACATTAAATGAAACCTTGGAACTTTCTTTCGCAGCTGCAGTAAAAACCAGCTTGGCAATATAAATTGATCGAAAAGAATTGCAAATGAAATGTTGCATCAACGTTACGTCGGTCACAACGATAAACTAATATAGCTGATAATTGATAATTGATAACTCCCAGCTTCAAAGAGACATTTCACAGAAATATTTAATAACCTTTTCGCGTATTATTGATACACTTAAATTTCTCATAAATGTATAAATATTCTCAGTCTAGTCGTTCGAAGTGCAAGAGACTTGAGAGAATTAATTTACCACCGCCATCGACAGATTTATTCGTTTCTAAAGTTTCCTTATTTTATCCTTCAAGAGTCATTATACCTAGGAAATGCTCGAATTCCTAAGGAAGAGCAATACTCCTCGAGGAGCAAGAAGTCTTTTTTGTTATCCGCAGAGTTTTAAAGGCTCTGTAAGTTTTTATTAAAATTGTTAACTGCGGATGCGGTAATTTCTTATCTCATTTTCAAACAGAGGAATCTCGGTAGCGAAGACGTACAGCACCGTAAGAAAAGAAACAGAAGGTCAATAAGTAGAATGGTTACTACTCGAACCATCGATCAAGATCGTTCTCTACTCACCCAGTTCTGACAAAGTTGGCGAAGTACTGTAGGATGCTCTCGGAGAGTGCCACTTCAGATCTGGTGTAGTTTCTGGGAAAGTGACCGAAACCGTCCACCAATGGCGCTCCGAACACGAATGGCAATTCCTCGCCATGGACAGAGCCCATCTTCTGAAAGCAAAAACGATCGGTCAATGGTTGATCCTACGCCCAGAATCGCAAGAATCTTAAAAAAGAAAAGAAGAAAATGTTCTTTTTTTCTAATTTCTTTAAATATTGCTAATGATAACGCTAATGATAATTATACTTGTGATATTGTACATATGTAAAAATCGTACTCTGTGTGTGTCTCTTCGAGGGTGTATCGACTTCTGCAACCTTTCATCAGAGTTGTTACAGTTTATTTACTATAAAAGTCTATTGAAATAAAATAGACGATGCATTTCGAAAGTAGAGGCTACGTTATTGTTCTTTACGAAATTTTAACAGTTCAAGCTTTTAGCAGCTAGTCCGAGTAATAAATGGGAAGCAAAATCTTTATTGGACGATACGTCAATTAATTAATTACTCGGTTTAAAACAGAGTCCAGAAAATCACGCGAGAACAAAGTCACTGAACCGATGGTTGGTTAAGCTCTCCCTTCAACGGAACATCGACGCAGTCTCATCTTCTCGTTGTAGTGGAGGTATCGCGATGATTAAATTTCCCGGGCTAATAGGTTAGCTCGTATTTCGCGCGGAATATAAATAGGAAGCTATTACTTGGAGCCTAACTTTGCATTCACGAATAAAGAGCATGTTTAAACCACCCTGGTGACCCATTTCTCTCTTTCCCTCGCAGCGAAACTCGCACGAGCTCCGAATGCCTGCACGACCCTTCGCCCAAAAGCCAGAAACTGCAACCAGCTACTACTCGTCGCGTTTCCTAGCTGCTTGGTAATTATTCGCTCGATGGAGAAATCTACGAGGCAGTAATGCGTTGCTTATCGGTCCCAGGAGAGATTTGCCAAACGGCGGACCTGATTCCACCTCGAGCCTCGAAATACGTTGGACACGTCAGCTGCTGGGTAATTCAATTTCTTCGGGGTTCGTGCCCTTTTGCCCGGAGTTGCCCGACTTCCGCCTCGGGACGTGCGTAAAGAACGTGCGATGTATTTTTCTGTTAGCTTGAACTCCTCGTTGCGAGAAGAATCACCGTCCCAATCGTTCTTCAAACGATTTCATTTGCCCCTTGGTTGTCGAATTGACGTAGCGGTGAGAGATTTAATACAACGAGAAGATAAGCTGTTGAAGTTAGAAATTTCTTTTGTTAACAATTTTCAAGTTGATCTGCTCGCGAGTGATTGTTCAATTTTATACCGTGATGAGGCATTTTCAAAGGAAATTTCGTCAAATAGGCACATGGGTTCAATTCAGTAGAATGACTAAGATATAATAATTGTTAAATGTAGATGAATGTAATAACGATTGAGTATTTTTATACAGAAGTTATATAAAATAGAATCTCGTTTATTCAAACGCTCAGATAAAAGAAAAGTTCGGATGATATCTAGAGGTTCACTAGATCTCTCCATGACTCAATCCCATTTGTTCGGATAACGAGAGATAGTAGATAAGGATAACGTTGATTAATTATGCATTCGTTTATCTGAGGCTTTACTGATATAAACGAGATTCCTCTGTATTCTGTTCACGGTGATCAAACCGTATACATTTCGCGTGGCGATGAACACGTTGAAAGTGGTGAAAGAATATACTTCCAAATTTTGTAGAAGTTAAACTCGTAGTACTATGAACGAGTAGTACTTTCCAAGGAATTTCGATTCAAGAATATACTTCCAAATTTTGTAGAAGTTGAACTCGTAGTACTATGAACTCGTAGTACTTTCCAAGGAATTTGGATTCAATCAAAATTTACAAATTGTGGTGACTGAAGAAAAATTTTCAGGAGAAGAGAGAGGATCCAGTGTAGAGAGGATAGAGTCTTGTTCGACAAGGTCTTTCGCCATTAACTATTAACACACATAGAGACTCATACGTTACTGATCTCGTAGCTCATTACCTGCGACCAGGCTGTCATTAATATATCGATCAATATAGTTCAACGCGAAAATAGCTCTTCATCCTTCCGCAGCCTCAGATGTGTCAATGTAATTGAAAAGAAGGATCATACTTTCATTGTTGGTCATCAATTTCATCGATTATACAGAGTGTCTTGTTCTGAATGAATGTTGAAATTACGCGGATGACGAACAATTAGCATTGCTGAAGGCCAGCTCGCTCGTTCCTGGCGAAGGTTGCCCCTCGATCGGCTTCTTAACGAACGATTAACGCGAATCACGAGTTTCTTCGTTAACGACGCCGATTTCCTGTGACCTCGTCGTTCCCCATTATGCTCGTTAATCCAACAAATTGCCCGATTTTCATTTCGCTCCGCTCCTTATTCTCATCGACTGTTACGAACGACTCAACATTCGTTCCTGTTCTCCGTTCGTTCCTTTCCTTGTTTCCTCCGGGCGTTTTTATTAGGGCCATCAACGAGCCTAGAATTTTATTATCGCCCGAGTAGAACGAAGTAAAACCAGCGGTAAAACGCCTTTTACTAAATTACACATTCTCCTGTTTTCACTTAAGACGAATAGCTTGCTGTCATAACAAACAATCCGATTGAGATTGAATCGTCTAAGAAGGGAAATCGTTAGAACACGGTGAAACTAATTTCTTCCTTTTTTTAAACGGAAAAAAGTTTTATATTTAGGGTGTTTACCTAAGTGTGAATAAACTTCGTCACTGAAGGAACCGAAAGAAATGTCCGAGGTGTTGAAAACAAGCATCCTAATTGTTGCAAGATAAATTTTAGAAGTTATGGTGTAAGAGTTTTTAATAGTTCGTATGATCAGAATTTTTTTTGATTAGCAGGTTAGAACTTTAATTTTAATTACCGATAATCAATGCAAATGACTGGAATTTTCTTTTTGTTACTGGATAGGAAAAAAGGAATTAAAATATCACACAATGGTAAATTTAATTTAATAATTTTACTTATCTTTTATTTATAATTGAAATATTCTTTGACATATTTATTAGGATTAGGTTCGAGTATAATTCACAGAGTCTTGATTTTTATTTTCTATCTGATTTTTATTTTGTTAAAAGATTGATATTTTTGTTTCATTTTCGTAGTTTCCAAATACATCTTACTGTATTCAATCAACTGGAAATGTTTCGCTAAATTCAATGCGAAACAAGGAGCATTTGTTCCATATTTGTTTCTAATAAATAAACAGACAGTTTATAAAATTCGAGCGTAACTAAAAATACGTAGTTCAATCTTCCTAATACCTCAATATTAAATATATACAACTGACTCTGCTGAAAAATTAATCTTCCAGCCATCTTCAATCATTGCTTTTTTATTTATACTAGTTCTACTAAATATTACAATTAAATTAAAATTAAATTCGACAATTTACAACTGTCAAAATATTTAGGCATTTATGTACAGGTATTTGTGAAAGATTCTGAAAATTCGATCATTTCTATATATTTTATTTTCCCGAATATTTACAAGGGATTGAAATCGCATCGACTACGTTTACAATTAATGGACGCTTGGTCAACCACGTACCGCTTTCGATTCTAGTTACAATATTCAAAATATCAAAACCTTTGTCCAGAAACTGCCGGGAGGAAAAACGAAATTTTTACTCGCCTCCGGAGAAAGCTTTGGCCGTCCATTAAAAGCAAAGCAGCGGCGAATAGGACAGATTAAATTTTCGTTCGCCGGCGGAAAATTGCTTTTTTGTCGACGGTTGCACGACCGACCGCTGGAAAATAGTTGCACTCGCCGTTGAAAATGAAGTTCGCGGCCGCAGTTTTCTGGTTCGCTGGCAATCGGCTCCGCCGGTTTTCGGCAGCGCCCGGCCAAACTTTCTGCCCGACTCCAACCGGAAGATATGGCTTTCTGATTGCGACCCGGGGTAAGTAAGCAACCCCGCCCTCCCCTGGCGAAGAAATTACTTCACGCTGTTAGTGTCGGCCCGGTGAAAAAGTTGCTCTTCCCACTCGACCAGTCGGCGAGAGTTTCACGCGCGGAACTTTTCGTTCCGCGAAACGTTTTACGATCGGTGAACTTGCCGCGGAAGATTACAGTCGCTACCGAATGCATAACGGCGAATTCACGGAACGCGATCTCGCGTTACACCGGAACGAATAAGCACGCCAACCTAAGACTAGATTGTTTCTTCGCTTCTCGTTCCTCTTTGCTTTCGCGGATACGCGAGCACGGGGGAATAATTTATCAGTAGATTGCGGATTTTTATGCAAATTCACACATTTGCCAGACGGCGAATAATGGTGAAAGTAGAAGCCCCGATGGAAAATTGTTCCACGTATTAAACGCTGCAGGGAGCGTTTGTGCTTTGGATGCTTCTGTATATAGGGTGTTCAGAGGTTTTGCGTTGCAAGACTGGAGTCTATGAATGTTTTTCGTTGGAAAGTTGTAAGGGAAATGTTGTTATTAGTTTAATACATGATATTTACTATTTTTGTGCATAATTCTATTACTATGCTTACAAGTTTACGATAATCAGAAGTGAATTAATCATTTACAAATCAGCATGAAATTTTGTCTGAAATAAATTTTATAACAATTAATATCAACTTTCCATTCATAAAGACGAATGACACTTCAAAGTGCACACGTAATTAGTGCAAGTAAGTATATGTTTCGTATCTTTGTTATATCTTTTTTTTCTTCAACAAACTGTTTTACGATATTTTAGCCTTATTTTGTAGAAACATATTTATAAAATGTAATATTTATGAAATGTAAAAATCCATTTGTCAGTCTAAAGTTGGAGAGTCTGAGAAATCATCTCGGTATTTTCGCGAGACGACCGAGCAAATGAACTGTTTAAACCGGTTAAAGTACCAGCGAGATAAGACAGGTCTGGCAAAGAAAGGGCATTGATCACGTCTTCTCGAGATTCTACCGCCCAGATACGTTGCCTAATGAAATTAATACTATCGAGAGAATTGCGGTCTCGCCGTTAGTCAACACTCGGGGAAACCAACACGCGAAACAATCTCAGCCCCGTGAGTTCAGCACCGAGTGGAACAGTGACGGATACTCGACACGGACTTCTCGGTGTATGGCTATTTTGAACTCGG